TTGCGTGGTAAGTGTGGTCCATTCACAAACTTTATAACTAAAAAAACTTTTCACTACTCTCTATCAACGAACTACTAACACTCTGCTGTTTCCTCCTCCTTCTTCCTTCCTTCCGCTGTCTTCGTTGGTTCATTTATACACGCGAAACACGTTCTCTGGCTGGCTGGATTGTCCACTCGGTCTGCCGTACATACATGGCGGCGCAAGATGGCGATCTCTCTAAAGCAAGGCCCTTGCTATATATATATATATATATATATAAATATATAAAAGCAGAATTATAAGGCTACAAAAATCAAACAAATTTTATTTTACAGCGATCATACACTTGTATAAACATATTAATGGGTAGAATATTCAGATTCAGATTCAGATTGACAATAAACCATGCCAAATATTACACACTGGCCCTTTAAGTAATCACAGAAAACAGATGAGCACACATTTGTAGGTGCTGGGCAAGTGGGCCGTCTGCAACGTGTGTTATAGTGTGTTACAGTGTGTTACAGTGTGTTATAGTGGGTATGACTGCATACGTGTGGACCCCTGGAAGAATAGCCAATGCTTATGCTAGTGCTTATGGGGATCCGAACAAAGGAAGAAAGTTTTTAGCTTTCACACTGTTGTAGCAACTCATCATTTCATATTTGGTTTTTGATTTAAGTGAAGAATTAAAAAGACAAGTGGTTAGTGGGGAGCAAAATTCCTTTAACTAGCAGCCATATAAGTGTGACAGTGTGTGGATGGTACCATTCCATGGGGGTGGGACCCATTTCTCATTTAAGGCAGTTGGGTACATCACTGCACCGGCAAACTGCTCTGTCCACTCCACATCTGGCTGCCATTGTTTCTGCCTGTGAAAAACAGAATATTTACGTGGTAAGGCTATGTTAGTAAACCGTCCAGTTTGAACCAGAAAAAAGCAGATGCATAACAAAAAGCATTTCAGTGCCAGGTAGGTGTCACCTCTTACACTCCTTGCATGTAGCCAGACTTTAATCTGATTAGCCTATTTAGAAAGAGTGATGATCTGGGCTACACTGTTGTGCATGTCAACCTGACAACTGATATGGCTCATAGGGGAGACACGCACAGCAGAAATATGGGTCATGCTTGTATTAACAGAGTCTGTTAAATAATGCTAGTTATTGCAGTACGCATATGGCTGCTTTTAAAAGGTTTTAACTCATGCATATGTAGACCTCCTATGGGGGCAGAGTACATCAATAGCAACCCTTTATTTCCAAATCCCCTTGACTATGGTACTACATAATCAGCACATGAAGGTAGTAGGGCCATTTCAGAGACCTTCAAACTAATCTTAATTATGGGAAGTAGTTTATAAAAAGCAAGTTTTCTTCACTTAAGTGCCATCTACGTTACAGGTCTTGCATTAAGCTAGAATGATTCCACTAGAATGACACTAACGTACTTACTGTTCAACATAGGCTAGACTAACTAAGATGTAGTTATGGCCTCCTAACAGGGCGGTTTTGTTTATTATTGCTGTAAAATATGGAAAATACTTAGCACTACACGTACAATACTACAAATAATGTACAGTACCAGTATGATAATCACTGACACACACTGGCTAATCAGACTGCTAACAGTTATTACAGCTTAGGTAACACGTAAACAGCGGGCAAGCTAATATTAATCTGCAACATGCACGACCTTAAAAAATGACATTGCTAAAACAGCCAACTAACGGTACATGTGTACATTGTAAAGACGTGTTCCATTCATACAGAGTACAAATTGTAGCAGAATATTATTATTGTTATTTCGAAGAGACCATGTCGGCTTATTTAGCTTTATGCTAACATTAGCCTATCAGTGTGCAGATTTATGTGAAGCTCGAGCTAGGTCGGCTGGTAGTACAGTGTTTACACGAGGCGACCCGTTTTGTATTTTCATTATCTTACCTGTTTTGCACGACAGTACAGCCTGGGCTCAGTAAGTTATTATTTAATATTATTTTTGTTGAAGGACGTCCTAGTTTGCTAAGCGACCTCAACATCGTGGCCGCCATCTTGGCTGCTACACAACCTCTGGCCAATGACGTAGAGGAGTTTCTTCTTTTGTTGTTTTAAAGGCGCATTGCGTGCATAACCCGTGTGTCTGCCACCTATCGGAGTTTCCCCGTACATAAAGTATAGGACTTCTTGTAACTGGGAAAACTTACATCAATGTTTCATGAATTATTTTTATGTTTCTGACATTTGCTCTCTGTTTAACTCATCCTATACTTACTTGGGTCCCAGTTAGGTGAGGCTGTTGTTCAGTGGAGTAGGGGGAGGAAGGAAGTGGCAGCTTGCTGTGGGGCTGCAGCTTTCATTAGTGTTTTTCTTCTACTTCTTCTTTTTGCTTCATCTTAATTTAGTTTTGTTGAATTTCCCATGCTCCATTTTTGTCTCTGTTCTGTTATAAATGCCTCTTTTAAATACTCTGTTGAAAAACTTACTTCTGCCTACAATTTTCTAGTGGTGATCAATACAATCTTTATATGAGGTGGGTGCATGACACACACATATTATTATTATTATTGTTATTATTTTATTAGAGCTACAGTAACTTTTACATAAAAAAAACAACCTTTTATCATATTTGCTGAATCTGTCACTGTATTTTGACAGTAGTGCATGGGACAGTCTGTGGAAATGATGAACAAACACAACCAATCGGAGCCAGGTGGAGTCTCTTGCAGAAGCTGTGCTGCCAACATCAGCATACATGCCTGATAGCAAGCTAAGACGAAAGGGTTAAACTGAGCCAGTGCAAATCCTTGTAGGTCTTGTAGCTCTTGTCTTTGCCATGTATGCTGTTGTTGGCCCCACAGTATGTGCACAAGCAGTAATTGACACTGTAGGAGACTCCTCAGCTCTGATTGGTTGTTTTCATTCAGGAGCAGCAGACTCTTGCAAATGCCATTAGGAGCACTAGGAGGAGCCATAGGAACATAATTTCCTCAAAGATTATATGTTTCATGTACAACTCTCAGGATATAGTGACACTTTCAGCAAATAAATAGCAATAAAGTCACCTACTGTAGCTTTAAAGAATGAAGCCCCTATTTTATCTTTAGAAGACCCTGCGATCACATACAGTACAGGCCAAAAGTTTGGACACACCTTCTCATTCAATGCGTTTTCTTTATTTTCATGACTATTTACATTGTAGATTCTCACTGAAGGCATCAAAACTATGAATGAACACATGTGGAGTTATGTACTTAACAAAAAAAGGTGAAATAACTGAAAACATGTTTTATATTCTAGTTTCTTCAAAATAGCCACCCTTTGCTCTGATTACTGCTTTGCACACTCTTGGCATTCTCTCCATGAGCTTCAAGAGGTAGTCACCTGAAATGGTTTCCACTTCACAGGTGTGCCTTATCAGGGTTAATTAGTGGAATTTCTTGCTTTATCAATGGGGTTGGGACCATCAGTTGTGTTGTGCAGAAGTCAGGTTAATACACAGCCGACAGCCCTATTGGACAACTGTTAAAATTCATATTATGGCAAGAACCAATCAGCTAACTAAAGAAAAACGAGTGGCCATCATTACTTTAAGAAATGAAGGTCAGTCAGTTCGGAAAATTGCAAAAACTTTAAATGTGTCCCCAAGTGGAGTCGCAAAAACCATCAAGCGCTACAACGAAACTGGCACACATGAGGACCGACCCAGGAAAGGAAGACCAAGAGTCACCTCTGCTTCTGAGGATAAGTTCATCCGAGTCACCAGCCTCAGAAATGGCAAGTTAACAGCAGCTCAGATCAGAGACCAGATGAATGCCACACAGAGTTCTAGCAGCAGACCCATCTCTAGAACAACTGTTAAGAGGAGACTGCGCTAATCAGGCCTTCATGGTCAAATAGCTGCTAGGAAACCACTGCTAATGTTTTTTATCAAGCAGAAGAGATTTGTTTGGGCCAAGAAACACAAGGAATGGACATTAGACCAGTGGAAATCTGTGCTTTGGTCTGATGAGTCCAAATTTGAGATCTTTGGTTCCAAGCGCCGTGTCTTTGTGAGACGCAGAAAAGGTGAACTGATGGATTCCACATGCCTGGTTCCCACTGTGAAGCATGGAGGAGGAGGTGTGATGGTGTGGGGGTGTTTTGCTGGTGACACTGTTGGGGATTTATTCAAAATTGAAGGCACACTGAACCAGCATGGCTACCACAGCATCCTGCAGCGACATGCCATCCCATCCGGTTTGCGTTTAGTTGGACGATCATTTATTTTTCAACAGGACAATGACCCCAAACACACCTCCAGGCTGTGTAAGGGCTATTTGACCAAGAAGGAGAGTGATGGAGTGCTGCGGCAGATGACCTGGCCTCCACAGTCACCGGACCTGAACCCAATCTAGATGGTTTGGGGTGAGCTGGACCGCAGAGTGAAGGCAAAGGGGCCAACAAGTGCTAAACACCTCTGGGAACTCCTTCAAGACTGTTGGAAAACCATTTCAGGTGACTACCTCTTGAAGCTCATGGAGAGAATGCCAAGAGTGTGCAAAGCAGTAATCAGAGCAAAGGGTGGCTATTTTGAAGAAACTAGAATATAAAACATGTTTTCAGTTATTTCACCTTTTTTTGTTAAGTACATGACTCCACATGTGTTCATTCATAGTTTTGATGCCTTCAGTGAGAATCTACAATGTAAATAGTCATGAAAATAAAGAAAACGCATTGAATGAGAAGGTGTGTCCAAACTTTTGGCCTGTACTGTACCTGACAGTAGTTTCTATTGTTTACTTTTTGGAGCCCATGCTGTGAATTTGTCATGAAGAAACATGGATAAAATTAATCAGAATATCAGGTATTAAAGGTATATTTCAAACTGATATTATACCTCATACTGCTCTGTCTAATCATAAAACAAAGACTTAAAATGTAGTCTCCATCCCAGCTGAAACTGGTGTTGCCAACACAAAACAATGAACTTGTCCATTTTAGCCCTTCTGTCCAAAGATGACAAACTCCGCTTTTTTATAAAAAACAGTGCTTTTATTTATGTAATACTGTGGAAAAATAATTACATACCATTTTTAAAAAATATTGAAGATAATGAAATTAAAAAATGAGAGTTTGATAACGTTCGTTGTACATCTTTTGAACAGTTGTCTCTGCTACGAAGAACAGTACATTAAGATAAACATTGGATTTTTCTAAATTCAAAGACACAATAATACAGGATACAGTCCTACCAGAGGTATAAAAGTACTGTAACAGGATTGTGAGAGAAATGATATGGACATATACTGAAACACACACCCGCACACTTAGACACAGACATGCACACACGCACGCATACTGTATACACACGGACATGCATACAATAGCCACGCGCGCGCTCGAGTTGGGCGCTGCGTGTTTACAGTATGCTTCCCATCCACGCGCAGTCATTCACACATCTATACAAACACACTGTACAAATCGATGTGCGCGCCAATGCCCACACACTCCCTCTTGATCTCTCTCTCTCTCTCTCTCTCTCACACACTCGCACACCCACTCACTCGCAGTCATACACTACTACATGTCAATATTGTGGACAAGCCTTCATTGAACCTCTCCATACACATTCTCCTCCGGCCGTTTTGGCAGACAGACGATAAGGAATGATTCAAAATGGAAATGTACGACATGTTCCCCTATAAGGCCACTCAGTTCTAAACCCAACATCTGTGTTTTTCTCTCTCTCTGTCTGCACCAAGCTTGTAGTTAGGAGCTCTGAGAAAAAGGCTCCAGCCTACGAAAATGTCTGGGAATAACTCAAGGCCCCAAGCCTGGTTTGTAAAGCAACAGTCACCAATAGAAGGAGCTTCTACTGCATATACATGGTCTAAGGTGAAGAACAACATGAAGACTTGGCACTAGGTTTCTTTTGTACACTGATACACCCTTCTGAATTCAGGCTCTGCTGTTGACACAACTTTTCACTCCTGTCTCAGTGGAATCACCCAGGCGAACGCCCGAGTTAAAGTGGGCTCAAACTTTTGGTCCATACATACACATTACATGTTTTACATTGACAAAAATAATTCTGTAATGTTAAAAAATAGAATACAAAGCTCTAGTCTGGTGTGCAAATAAAAAGACATTACACAGATATAGATAAGGGACGTCTAAGCATGAATACTGTCAATGCAGTGCAAAATGATGACAACCCTCCCGACCCCACCCCGGCCCCCAACATACTCCCGCACGCCGTCTAACAGGCATGATGGCATGTACCACTGTACACAAGGGCATTCTGGGATGCTATATATATGTGCTCTATGATCACTGAATAAGACAACCAGCAAAAAAATTTATAAAATGGCGGCCAGAAATGACTTCCACTGGTTGAGGTTTCTCCCGATCGGCGTGTACCATATTTGACAGTCAGCCAGTTTTGCCTTAAGACGTTCTCTCTCATCATTTACAAAGTCAGTTCATAGCAAAAGCTATGGGGCTCCGAAGATCTGTGATCTTTTGTCCTCTCTCTGGTTCTTGCTCTTTTCCCAGTCTTGATTGTGACTTGCGCCGCCCGCTCTTTCAGAGCTCAGATATACAAACACATCGGGAGTGAGGGAATTCAAAACTGTGTGGAATTTCCCTTCCCTGTTTCACTAAAACTCCCTCTTTTCCACTCGTCTCTTTCTCTCTCTCTGTGTTTCTCATACCCTCCCTGTCTCATGGGCATGGTCTTCTGACTCTGTGCGTGTGTGTGTGTGATGGTTTTTCTGTAGTCGTGTTCAGTAGGGCGTGTTCGTGTGCGAAAATGTGTGCGTGTAAATCTATGGCTGTGTGTGTGTTTAGATGTGACACTATTTATAAGATGCTTCCTCATGCTCTGCTAAGACTGTGAGGTGTTTATGCGTCTCTCTGTCTCACACGTGAGTCTGCATCCTCTGTGTGTGTCGGCTGTGGGAGTAGTCAGAGTGTTGCGAGGTGTAGGAGAAGCGAGTGGAGCTGCCGTACTTCCCTAGTCCAGTCTCTGATCCCGAGGGAGCGGGACCCCCGGGACCCACACCGACCCCGGGGCTCCCAACCCCGGGTCCCACCCCAGGTCCCACCCCAGATCCCACCCCGTACATTTCATAGGATGGCCCAGCCTCCAACGGGGCCAGGCTGGACGGGGCGAAACCCATGCGGTAGGTCTGGTAATGCGAGGGGTATCCGTAGTTGTCGTAGGCCAGCTGGGAAGTGGAGTCCAGGAGGCTGCAGTCTCCTGGGAAGTCGCTGGCCACGGGGGCAGGGTTAGGCGGGGGCTGCTGGCTCTGGCCCGCACGCGTGAAGGTGTTGAACTGGGCGTAGCTGATGTGGGAAAGTCTAGAGGGGGGCCGGGGGTCGTAACAGGCCTGGGGGCGGCCAGGGGAGGTGAGGGGGCCAGGGGGACCAGGGGCTCCTCCACTGGCTGTGGCCCCTGAGCCTCCGGCACTGCTGCTTATAGATGCAGCTCCCCCTGGTGTTCCTGCAGGGGAGCGGTAGTCAGAATAGTGCAAGGTGGAGCGGGAGGCCGGGCGGCCTTCATCATGGGTGGAGGCTCGCACATTGTAGTAGCCATTGGTGGGGTCCTAAAGAGACAAACAGCAAGAGACAACATAGTGAACATCAAAATAAGATATAACGAGGGGGATACAAATCTAAATGCAGTGCATCCCATCACCAGAATAAATGTTGACATTGTATGTTTGTGTGAACGATGGAAACGTTACATTTGTATGTTATTATCTAGCAGATACGTTCAAGAACACTTGGTTGACGTGTGTTTATGTTTAGGTACAAAAAACGTGGTTATGTTTGGAAAAGATCATGTTTTAGCTTGAAATACCTATTTTGGGTGCTAAAAGTCACCGGAAGACACAGCAATGCCTCTGTAAAAACAACCACTCTTTGTGGCAATACCCCGGCTGGGAACGCAGCATTGTCTTGGTAAAAAAACACCCATGTTTGGTGGCTAAGAGCTGTTGGAAATGTCGCAATGACATGCTTAAAAAACAATCAGGTTCGTTGGTTTTGAACAGTGGTCTGCAGCTTGGCAGGCATCTTGCCTTGGTCCCATGCCATCCACCATTCCCTCCACCTCATGATTACAAAGTCAGTTCATACACTATGACACTTTAGGGACGTTGATATAATATGTATGAAACATACAAGAGTAACAATTGATTTCCTTCTAGCGACTGGGCTGGTCTGTATATAGATCTTAGGGTCAGAAGGCTTCTATAATAATAATGTTTTGTTCCTTCCTGATCCCCAAAGAGATATTCTCTTGTAGAAGGTCAGAGGTCAGGGTCAACTGTGTGTCTGGAGCTGGTCAGCGTCCAGGTCCAGATTCCTTCAGATTGTGCTGTGAGGGCAGTTTGCTCTCTTTTTTTTGTGACTCAGCTGCCTGAGATCAGACTCTAAGTCTCTTTTCAGATATGCATGCAAATCACTATGTAAGCAAAAATTCCAATGACACTAACTGCACGGGCAAATTACATGTTACAACTATAAGAATAACGCACCAAGACTGGCATCCCAGGGCAGCCTCTTAAGTGATTCCAACATTCAAAAGCTCTTTCATGTGCTTTTAACCCATCAACTTTTAAAAGACAGTGTTGGTAAATGTTAACAGGGTGCAATCTTGAACTCCTGTACACCTTGTGGCTTTTTAATAAATCCTATGGCATAATGATGAAATCTAAATATATTGCACAGTGAAAGAAAGAGAACAGATTAGGATGTTGTCATTTATATGTTATCATGTGATCCTGTTACTGGTCCAGACCACTCAAGATCAAATTCGGCTGTTTGCGGCCCATGAACTAAAATGAGTTGTCACAACCCTGCCTTATTGTACCAATAAAATGGACGACACATCTCCATTTCCTCCCACTGTCAAAAAATGAAGCCAAAATTGCAGCCATCTTGTGTTGATGACATCATTTAAGAACCAGAGTCTACGCCGTAGCGACATCAGTGGTATTGTCTGACCAGTTGAGCACACCGATGGGCGCACACAGCTGTCGATCATGATGCCAAATCCCCTTTTTATAGCATCAAAGAACTAATTAAAACCAATGTTATAAGGAAAAGGAACACTTGAACGTACATTAGTGTGATGCCTAAAATGACAGAAACCATCTTTGGGACAAATTTATTTCATGTTAATTTGATTCTTAAGTTAGGCCCAGGTCCCATCTGCTTATGTGGAGGGGGCAGGGTTTATGATTTACACTGCAGCCAGCCACCAGCGGGCAATCAAGATGTTTTGGCTTCACTTTTGGGGAGCTGTCATCTCAGTCTATGGTGTATACTAATACCAGCTTTCATAGTATACTGTTTTTATGGTTTGTATACAAGAAATGAATGTACTTTAGCATACAAATGATAATAATAAGAGATTTTTTTGACCAGTTAACAAAAAGAAAGCACAAAACAAACAAACAGAAACTCAAGTTTTGTCCATTTGTGCTCAAAGCTTCCATGAGTTGAAGCATCCATGTTTATCTTGAGGCCTCTCCAGCAGTAGGGTGGATCCCTGCCAACATGCACGTTGGTCCCAGATTGTCTGGGTGAAGCAAGGACGCTCTCCTTGCTCACTACACCCACTTCATCTTGCTCTACCATTATTTCCGACATCATTCTGCCATCTCATTGTCTCTCATGTACCCGACTGCTCCCCCCATCCAACTTTGTTTCACTGCTTTGGTGCTTCAGGCGGCGGGGAGGAAAAAAAAAAAACAGTCTGGCTGAGGCTGTTGTCGGGGTGATCTAACCATCTCCTGGGGTGGATTCATGTCTGTGTTTCTTCAAAGTGATCCGAGGCAGCACTCCAGCTAGAGGGGTGGTGTGTTTGCCCTCACAAAATATTCATGGGGGGGAGTTTCAGCAGAACATTTTGGCAGCTTTACGCGTGAAAATGCATTCATCACCTAAGCCCAGCCCCACGGTGTCAAAATGTATAAATGATTCATGCCAGCGGAACGGGCAGAGTACGCCTAAACATCCTTTATCTTTTTTTCTCTTTGTTTCGGTCCAATTTGAATAGTTTTGTCTCTATTTTATAAGAACATAATATTCTAAACAATCACATAAGCTGGACTAAGTGAAGGGAGGAGAAGACAAAAGGAGCTTCAGCAATTTAAGAGAGGCCATCTGAACTGCAAAATATTTGGTGTCTTACATATCCTGCTCTAATATTCTCACAGAGATTGAGTGCAACACTAAGTGTGAAGGTCACTAAATTAGGAAACAGAAATATTCACTGCTGGAAAGATTGTCTTTTCATAAAACTGGGCTGTAATAGAAAGATGCAAACAAGTGCTGCTTCGTTTTACAGTTTGATCTGACTTGGTCTTAGTTTGAGTGAGAGAGGGTGGCATCTCTCTTTATCCATCTGCCTCTTTACTCTTTGGGTTCATCCCTACATGCCTCCTCAACTCCTCTATCCTTGGAAGCTGCCATATTGAAGGACGTCCCAACTCCTTCAATGCACTTGGAGGAGTCGAGGAGAGAGGAGGCTTTCAGAGGGGAGAGAAGCAAGGATACACAAGTACAGCCTTCGCGGAAGTATTTTACCGACTCACAGGCTTTCTTATTGAATATCAGCTTTTGATTGGATGCTGCAGCTGATCAGACTAATCTGATGCATCACAATAGCACTGGAGTTACAGTCCAGAGGGAGGACAGATAAGAGATTAAACTCAAGTGTATCACTGCCATTTGGTTTCTGATTCACCATCTAGTTAAAAATTTGAACAAGAAAAGGAGCATAAACAACTTTCTTCATTTATTGGAAAGATTTTACTTTTCACAATGTCACTTCCCCCATTAACTTTTATTATGGATACAGTCAAAGTCAGAGAGAGTGTGTCTGTCTGCAAGAAACACTTTATACAACAGTGATCGTCATTTCCATTCAGTCACATGGGAGGCTGATCATTCCTGTGTGTTGGGTTGATGAGTTACAGAATTTAAATTTTCTGTGAAACATTTAGCCTAATAAATAATTTCCAGTGTTAAAAAGACACCATAATCATATTCTGGATTATTAAATAATTTATATACATATATATACATACACATGTATATATACTGCTCTCATCAGTTAAGGTACTGGGATCTACTCTGTGTTCGTGGTGGTGGGCATACGAAAATGTGGAAGTACAAGCTTTAGTTAGAGCGACAGTCCCTAGAGTCAGCGATAATCTGCTGGATTTTCGCTGACTCTAGGTGGTGAGCAGGGAGATCTGGGTGCTGGTAAGGTGAAGGCAAGTTCACCACAGTTCATTTACACATGCTACCCACATTGGTATAACACAAGGCTGGTTAAAAATTGAAAAAGTACCCCTTTAATGTATAAAACAAAATAACATTTAAAGAGAAAAAGTGAATTTTAAGCTTTATAAAGTGCTTAATTGTTACAGATGTTGTTCCAAACACCAGTTTGTTCTCCAGTTTAAATGAACTGGGACTTATTTGCTAATTTGATTCTGCTTTTTCAGGGTGTCTACACTTAAATTCAATGCTTTTTAGGACTTTTTCAAGATACGTTTTAACCAAATTTAAGACTTAAGATTTTTAGATGAATCATCTTCTCTAATTCAAGCATTACAGGTAAGTTATACGGTCACACGCAGAGGTAAGTTTTATGTAGGAATATGGTTATTAGATTAAGTTAGGTTAATCTATATTTTGTCAACTGGTAAGTGGAGGCATAAAGGAAAAAGACCAGAAATGTGGACTTCCACTCCTTTTCACCAAAAGATGATAAAAAGATGGATAAATGAAATTAGATAAAATGTTTATGTTGTTTAAGAACTCACAAATTTAAGTGTATTTAATGATTTTAAGGTCTAATATTTATAAAACTGAATTTAAGATATTTAAGGATTCTTTTAAGGACTTGTAGACGCCCGGTTTTGGCATTAACCCTACATCAAAGTTTGACTTGTACAATCCACTATCAAAAACCAGACTGGACTCCCTCCTCTTTGTCTTCCTCTGCCTATTTCAGATAAACATGTGCGCCCTCTAGAGGGTTAAACATGAAATTAAAAAATAACAATTTGGATTTTTTTTTTTTAAATTGAATTTTAACTTCATTTTTTAAAACATATATCAGACTGAAGCATCACAGTTGCAATTTCTGTTACAGAAGTGAAACAAACATTTTTGAGATGAATCACTGGTCAGTTGGGATTAAATATTAATGACTGAGGCTTCATTTATAGCACAAAACTCTCAAAAAATAATATTGTATTGTTCATGTGACTATGTCTGTCTGGTAGATACTCTCAGTGTCATCCTGGGTGGCACCACTTCCACCAGAAAAGAAATGCTGTACATCATTGGATGAAAGTCATCACTCAGAGTCACCATGTCAGTAATGATTAGGATATTTGCAGCCCTTTGAGATATAATTAGAATGAAACCTTGCACCAAAATGAACTCCACAAGACCTCACAGTGACTTTGGCATCATTTTATTATTAATGTTTTGTTAATTTTGCCTTTATATTGAACATACTGGTGGTTATTTTTACCCTTTTCTGTACCTGTGATTGCACACCTTCTCTGTATTTTGTAAGTCTTTCAGGAGGAAAAAAGTGAGTTTGTTTAGATTTGAAGACTTCCTGCTTTGATATAAATGAGTGTTTAATGAGCTCACCTTAAGGTCATACTCCTGGCGGGTGTCCAGGGTGTCACTGCGGAGGTCAGACTTGAGCTCTATGTCATCTTTAAAGGGCTGATTGGAAGGAGAGAAGGACACAGAGGGGAGAAACTAAACCGTCAAACAACAAAACAAAAACAAAAAGGAGGAGAGAAGGTGCCATAACAAAACGGAAGAGGGAAGGAGGCAACAGAGTATGACAGGAAAAGAGAAAATGGAATTAAAAGTGTTAAAAGGAGCGATTGCAGGGGAAAACACAGAGCTTGTTTTCAGTCAAAAGGTACAGTGCGGCATAGGGAGAGGTTACTGAGTTAATCTGAGGTTTTTTCTAAGACTACAGGCTGTGTAAACAGTGTCCGGCCCAAGCACACATATCCCGCTGCTGCTCACCGAGTACATGGCCTTGACCATGCGCGAAGCCGTGGACACGCTGCCGGAGTCCTCCTCCAAGCTGTGGGTCTCCTTGTTTATCGTCTCCACCTTGATGTCGGGCTTACCCAGCGTGACCCCACGCCGACCTGGAAGCAAAACACGGCAAGGTTGAATACAGCTGGACACACGCATCGTGGCTGGTGTGTTTTCATGAGCTGGAGGAGCAAGTTCAGAGGGGACCCACATCCATATGGTTGAGAGGAAGTTTTAGGTGTTTGATTTTATTTGGTTTGCTGCAAGTTATGTGGTCTGGTGATGAACATTTTAACCATAATTCCCCAATAAAAACATGGACACTTGTACTGTACATGCAGATGTGGTCTTTATATGTATGTGTGAGGCACATGGAGAGTATGACTCACTGCCTTTGCGCTGCCGGTAGAAGATCAGAACGAGGACCAGTAGAAAAATGAACAGGAGGATGGTAGAGCCCACTGTCCCACCAGCTATTATCCCCACTGGGACTTCCTCTGAAAGGAGGAGGAGAGAATAAGAGAGAGACAGAGAGAGATGGAGGGAATGCAAGAATGCAAATGTCTGTCAGTAGCTGCACAATCAAGAATTTAATGCAACAAATACATCTTACGAAAACAAAACTGTATGCTGCCTAGCTCATTAAATTTTCAAATAGTGAATTCATAAAACGCACCGGTCTCCTCCAGCGTGATGATCATGGTGCCTGGGCCAAACGAGTTCCAAGCCGTGCAGTTGTAGGTGGACAGGAAGTCAGACTCCATCACGTTGTTGATGGTGAGGGTAGAGAGGACGCCCCCGCCCTCCGCTGATGGTTTGCTCTGCTCCACTGTGTACCTCTCCAGCAGCGTCCCCTTTTCCTTCTCCCACACATTCTCCTTCCACGCCCACACCTGCAGCACACACACACACACGCATAATAGATTATATCAAAATTAATTTGGGAGGGATTTATTTTACTTGGGTAAGATGTGACGGGACATGTTTTCAGGATTTTAATCGATCAGTGAACTGCGACTGTAACAAGCCATTTACCAGTAAAACCACTTCAAACAGAGCTTTAATATCAGATTTTCAATGTTCTCACCCACAGTCAAGTCCCATCTCTCGCCTGAGCACCATGGGTGCCAGGGCTTTCAGCTGCACTGCCCCCAGGCTCTGGAACTCCCTACCTCCACACATTCGACAGTCTGACAGCATAACATCCTTCATATCCCTTCACAAAACTCACCTATTCTAACTGGCTTATGCACTCTGACTCTAACACTACAACACTATATTATTATGTGTAAACACAGACGAACACATTGGTCTGCAATAGTGTTGTCACAATACCAAAATCTTTGTTTCGGTACCAATACCAATATCAATTTCGATACTTTTCGATACTCTTCAGTACTTTTCCTGAGGAAAAGTCCTTTTGGATACAAACCTTTAGAACAATAAATAGTAGGGGTGTAACGGTACCAAAAAAATCATGGTTCGGTAAGTACCTTGGTATGGACGTCACGGTTTGTTAACTCAAATGTTCCACCATGTTTGTGTTGTCTCGTGTTGTCGCCCTTTGCGATTCAGACTTTCTCTTGCCTTTTTTCATGTGCGCCAGCTGCGAATGTTGATACAGGTGTTGTCATAGAAACCACTTGCGCAATCTGTGCTCCAATAGGAACAAGAAAGGTGTTTGTGTGCATAAATGAGTAAAATAAATTAACTAAATTAATGAATTGAATCAATTTCAAAGTACTGGTATTTTCCAAATGCAGTACAGTACCGTTTGGAATACTCTGGTACCGCGGTACTATTTTAGTACCGGTATACCGTGCAACACTAGTCTGCAATGTTATATGTGTCTACAATATCATTCTTATCAGGGTATAAAAAGATCATCTGACAGTGTATGTTGCTTCTCAAGTCCATAGTAGGTCATGAAATTCAGAATTCATTTAGAAAAATGTAATGCATTCTGTGTGTCATTTTGTTACATGAATTTGTAATTTTATTCTGTTGGTCTATTCTGTACATGACATCTATTACATGTCTGTCAGTCCTGGAAGAGGAACCCCTCCTCTGTTGCTCTTCCTATGGTTTCTTTCAGTTTTTTTAACCCCATTAACGAGTTATTTGATGGGTGAATTTTTAGTTATCCAAAGCGAGGGTCAGGGTTGTATACTGTACAGATTGTAAAGCCCCCTGAACCACAATCATGATTTATGCTATCAGGCAATATATGCGTAAATTAAACTGACTTGACTTGACAAGTAAGTGAATGAACTTCTTACCAAGAATGTTGAACTATTCCTTTAAAGGGATAGTGCACCCAAAAATGAAAATTCAGCCATTATCTACTCACCCATATGCTGACGGAGGCCCTGGTGAAGTTTTAGAGTGCTCACATCCCTTGTGGAGATCGGCGGGTGGAGCGGCTAGTACACCTAATGGTAGACGGCGCCCCAGACTAACGTCCAAGAACACAAAATTGAATCCACAAAGTATCTTCATACTGGTCATCTATAGTGATCCAAGTGTGCTGCAGCCGCGACATAAAAAGTTGTTTCGAAAAACGTCATATGAACTCTGTTTTTAGCCTCACTGTAGCCTTTAGCTCTGACTGCTTCTCTGTGCTCCGCGCTCACGTGTGCATGTTCAGGGTGATTGGTGATGCATGGTCTCTGAAGAGCACCAGTCTCGTCAGTACTGATGTCCAGATTCTCAAGTGCAGGCATCGCCAATTCCCAGTCTGAGCAGCAAAGACTTTCCTCATCCGTTGGCATTGCTTTGCATTTGAAACAACTACACCACCAGGTTTCCAGCGCTCGACTCCGGTATTCTGCGGCTGGCTGAGGGTTAGGCTCATGAGCTGCGGCGGCTGCTTCGTCCAGTAGCCTGAGTTCCGTGCGTATACTCGGGCTCAAACAAATACGGCTCAACAAAGAAATGCTGTTCCTCCTCAATTTCAAAGTCTTCAGACATGTTTGGCTGTACTTTGCTAAAAGACCGTAGTGCAAATTATCTTTTAGCTCTGTGGTTACGTTGTCTCTCCCTGCGATGCACGTGTCACATGATGTAAACACGGGTGAGCAAAGCTCATGCTTTCACTGGTCTTGCGCAGGCGCGCACACGGGAGCGCGGAGCACAGAGAAGCAGTCAGAGCTGCAGGCTACAGTGAGGCTAAAAACAGAGTTCATATGACGTTTTTCGAAACAACTTTTTATGTCAATTTTGTGTTCTTGGACGTTAGTCTGGGGCGCCATCTACCATTAAGTGTGCTAGCCGCTCCACCCGCCGATCTCCACAAGGGATGTGAGCACTCTAAAACTTCACCAGGGCCTCCGTCGGCATATGGGTGAGTAGATAATGGCTGAATTTTCATTTTTGGGTGCACTATCCCTTTAAGGATAGCTATTATAGCATTGTATTACACTACTTAAAAAAACCTTCCCCATATTTGTGCATGGATGTACAAAGAGAGCTGGATACAGAGTCGGAGTTGGGCCCAGTTCATTCCTATGAAAGTCGTTCAGTGGCACATGAAACCAAAAAAGTTGGACTTCCTGGGTATAAAATTGCCCGCGTCTTTCGTATCGTTGGGCCCATAGAACAAGAACACGAGAGACTTTTGCCAGCTGAGCTAACTTCCAGTTTAGCCCTCCGCTTACTTGGTTGGGATAAAATGATTTAATCATGCAGCGTTTATACATTCCCAAATGTTATCAAACCAAATGGATCAAATCCTGATAGTGAAACGACTCATTTCATGGGGGTTTGAGACGCTCAAAAAAATGTTTCTAAATATCTACAGACATCTCTGTCACAGTGTAAGTCTATGGGAAAAAAGTCATTGGGCGCAATGGCATCACAAGATAGATCCAGAAGTTGTAGTTACATGATTTGGCCACTGGGTGTTTAAGCCCCCCAGAGAACTGTCAGGCTTTGAAGCCAATTGGACATAGTGGACAAACTGTGGAATGAACTGGACCCGTCATGTGATGCCAATGGGCCCAAAAAAAGAAAAGAGCCACACAATTAAATCATTTTATTCCCTATTCAAGATAGCAGAGGGCGAACCCTGAAGTTAGCTGATCAGCTGTTGAGAGTCTGTAGTGCGCCCGCTGTATAGGCCCCACAATGCAGTGGTTATGTGTAATTTTACACCCTGTAAGCCAAACTTTTTTGGCTTCATGTGCCACTGAGCAACTTTATTTAGGAATGAACAGGGCCCCGCCTCCAAGTTCTCTTTATACATCCATGGAACCACTACAGAAAGGGTATTGCAATACAATGCTTTAATGGCTGTTCTTGAAAAAGTAGTCCAACATTCTGGGTAAGAAGTTCATTCATGAAAAAATGGACACCAGTGTCATGTCTGTATAGTAAATATCCCATCTAAAGTCCTGCCTTCATCCATGGATTTAATTTGCTGTTACCTCTTGTCTCGCGCATAAAATGTTTTAAGAAAACCTCACTCTAATCCTATAAAGTTTGGGGTTCTCTTTTGAATTTCATGGAAAAACTTAATGTAAAAATGTGTACTACCATTCCTGTGTATATGTTGTTGTGTTTTATTTTGCTTTTTAATGAACTGATCCGTATTTGTGTTTGTGTTTTCTGATGTTATTGTGACTCTGAAACATTGTAAAGCTCAGTATAAATATTTGTAAAGGAGAATGACTTTTTTTGACACGAAAAATTTTAAATTAAGGATAAAAAAAAGAAAAATACAGGTTTCATATATTTCATCAAATCAGGGTGACTGGTTGATATGATATTTAGTGGAAAAGGCATTATTGGCCATATACTATATATGTGTCCAACTTAAATACATACTGTAGGAAGGTATGACAGAAAAAGACCTCGTAACTTCACATCGAGTACACACGTAAACACTTGCGTGACTTGCTCAAACCAGCAACAGTTTGTATGTTTCTGCAGCCAGAAGTGGAGGTGGGTGGGGGTGACTGAGCTGGTGAGAATCTTGCACATTCTCCAACTTTAAAGCCACTAAAAGCAGCTGTATTATTCAGCATTGAAGTACTGTACTAAGGCCAGTTAATTATGCATAAGCCCACATGTTCCCATAATCTGCCCACTTATTCCAGAGGAGGATAATCTCCTGGCTGTGGCATTTACTGGGACAACTGTTCCTCTCCACTCCTTTATATTTTATAAATCTTTTTCTGTCCCAACCTCCGCCGCCTGCATTAGGAGTGCGCACCGGGAGTCAGGACGGATCAGTCACAGAGGCTGGGGAGCCGAGGAACTACTACTACTGCATCTCTGTGATACAGCCAAGTGGAGAAAGCATCCGGGGCCGATTCCTGACGCAGGAGCTAAAAGCAGCCCGGCTTAGTGTTAGTGTTGGTTTGTTTATGTGATGGGATGGAGGGAAATTCTGTGAGAGTTTAAGGGTGAGTCACCACTCAAAAAGAAAAAGGGGACAGCGCCTAAAAGCATTTACCGTGCAGGAGTGGAGCCATTTAGGAACAGGAAGGTACAGTAACAGTAAAACACAAATCGCTGTCAGGCTAAAAGCTACAACCTTGTGCTCTTTGTGATCGAAGCCTTTCCTTGTTTAGCTTTTCTTTTTGTCTGAATAATTAACGCTGGGATTAAAATTTGGACATTTTCATCGTGGGTCTGGTGACAGAAATATTTCATAGCACTCATGTTTCATATCTTTTCACTTACAATCTTATCTGGAGGAGGTGTGCTGGCTATGTAGCATTTCACCTCTCCTCTCTCCCCTCTCACTGCATATTGGACTGGATCACTGGAGATGATGGGAGGACCTGCAATGGTAAAAAAATGAGATATGAGAGTGTATGTGAAAGAAAGAATTACAAGAAATTACACTCAAAATATAAAAAAAAAAATCATACAAAAGCAAGGGTTTTTTTTTCAAAGCATTGACCTTACCAAGGCTGTTCAAGAGGAATTGTATTATTTTTAAAATAAATGGCCACTACTTTGGACATACAACATTTTTTTTCAATTACTGACAAGCTGACCTTTTAGAAAGAACATGGTTTTCCTCTACAAGCAGTGATACATTAAATTGTGTGGATGTTTTCTGACCGTTGACGGTGAGCGTGACCTCAGTCTCTCCTACTCCAATCCGTGGGACGATGGCCTTACATACATACTGGCCTGCATCCGCCTGGCTCACCGACTTCAGATACAGCTGGTTGCTGTTACTCAGAACCTGTGGGGGAGTGAAAAAGAAATATAAACAAGACAAATCTGCTAAACAACAGGAGGGGTTAAACAAAATAAAAGGAGAAGAGAGGCTAATGTGCTATTGTACCTCCCCTTAATATTGTAACACATCATGTTGCATATTTGCACGCCTGGCCTTATTTGAGAATGTGTGTTCTACTACTCTGACCCTGATGGGCTAACAATGCAAACTTGCACATCTGCTTTTAACCCATCACAAAGGTTTTGCAGTTGCCTAGCAACCACATCCATCGGAAAATTAGCTGTGGGAAAATTATGGCTAAATATGTAACCACCTAGAGAGAGAGATACCTGAACAAGGCTGATTACATAGATGTAGGTGTAAGTCAGTCCACAGTCTGCTCAGGCAGATTCCATTTACTGTGCTGTAACTGTCTTGTCTTTAGTCCTTGTATTGACTGTAGTTTAATGACAGTCACAGTACACACATATTAGACATGTCTTTAGCCTGTGGCTGGTGTACACAGTAGATTTTAATATAAAAAAACAGTGATGGTTAACTTATAAAATGAAAATATTTTGAGAGTTAAATGAAAGGATTGAGACCATTCTCATGTCTGTACTGTAGATATGACACTAGAGCCAGCACTGTCACTTCACCTTTATATACTTTATTCATTAAGCATATACATTCCTGTTTATTTCCTTTTATAATCTTCTTTTTTATACATATTTAAAGGCTCTGTTTGGAACATTCAGAGCATTATTATAGCAGCAAACCAATATTTACTGTTAGGGTTGGCACATTTTCAGTTTTCACTACATGATTATGGCCAAAAAAGGTTATAATAATGATGTTATTGCAATATTTATAGACAATTTGAAACTAATGATAATTTTAATAATAATGCTATCAGTCAAATTCATCTTTAACTTTGCTCATTGTGCATTTTGGCAAATGAATTACACTCAAAATACATCTGTAAGGAGGTGGAGAGGGAATCTGTAACCATAACTGGACAAAAGCATACAAAAAGAGCAATTACTCTTAATTGGTGGTGAAAAGGAAACCAGATGGCATTGAGAGAGGAAGATGAGAATGAAAAGAGAATGAAAAGAAACAGAAATGATTTAAAGGTCCAGTGTGTGAGATTTAAGGAGGTTGAGTGGCCTCTTGTGGTAAGGATTGCAGATTGCAACCAGCTGCAACTTCTCCTGGTTAGAATTACTGCAGCATTCATTGTTCCAGAGGTTTTTACCGGGAGCCAAATTAGCTGCAGAGGTCGCTACCTCTCCAAAATAAACAGACGCGGTGATTTAAACACTGAATAAAGCAGTTTAACTTAAAAAATAAATCTGTCTTTTTCAGATACTCTCATCGCAGAGGAGCTGCTAACAATGGTGACCAACGCAAAAACGCATATGGCTCTATCGAAAGCCAGTGTTTGGTTTGGCGATTCTGGGCTACTGTAGAAACATGACAGTGCAACAGGCGATAATACACTAAAGAAAACACGCTGATAATAGAATATTAAATTTCTGCTTTTCTATATCCACCTTAATCCTACACAGTGTTTTTTTAAGAGATGATTAATTATAACATAATATTATCTTTCGTGTGTTATTAACATGATATCAAAATTTAATTTTTAAATATTATATTTATCATCAATGCCAATATATCGCAATACCCCTAAGAATATAGTGGAGTAATGGCGTCCTGAGCAGACACTGAAGTCACGCTCGCTCTGTGTGTGCTGTAATCCGAGTTTCTCTGTGGTTTGTTGTGGTAGGCCAGTCCAGCCATGCGTACATGTTAGTGCATACGCTTATCCAACGTCGCTACTTTGCATTGCGCTCAAATGGTGGTTACTGCTGATATTGGGATAGTGTCGTCACAGAAGCTTAGCACCTATCCTCTGGTTGCCCCCCCTGGTTAAAACCGTAAGTAAGCTCTGTCAGCACTGTTGCCATAATTTAGCGCTGTTCATGGAGTTAGCACCGTTAGCTGCTAGCCACCAGCTCATTCACCTCCATGATGAGATCAGACAAAATTTCACGTGGAGCTCTTTTAAATAGCATTGTAGAAGGGAACCTGAGACCAAAGATTTTCATTGACACTTGGCTTCTGTGATTGCTGTGCATTTGATAGGAAATAACTTGAGTAGACAATTAGCTTAGCATAGCATAAGGACTGGAAACAGGGATAAAACAGCTAGTCTGACTCTTACCAGTGGTAAGAAAATCCACCTACCAGCAAAAGCTAATCAAACCCCCGTAAAACCACAGCAGTCATTTCTACACTTCAGGTTTTGTTTGGATTAAACAAGATAAAAACATGTTAATTAGTGAACTATAAGTTGCTGGTAGGCAGATTTAGTTATATAACTATATCACACTCATTGCACTTATTAAATGTAATCCTGATAAAAGGAATACAAGACAAAGGAAAAAGTGGAATGGAGAGAAATAGGTCATGGCAGGGAAGAAGAGAAGAAAGATGTCTATGTGTACAGACAAGACATTTCCCCTGAATGACAGGCTGCTTTTGTAAACACGGGAGAAGAAAGCGTGAACTGTAAAAACAGTGTGAATACAAGAACAGAGGAAAGCGTGGGCTCTCAGCTTCTTACCATGTTTGAACCCTTTTTGAACCAGGTGAGCGTGAGCGGAGGGTTTCCAGCCCATTTGCAGTTGAGGGTGACATCGGAGTCAACGTCTACAGTTTTTGGCTGCGGCTCCACCAACAGAATTGGACCGACTGGAGACACAGAAACACAGAAAGGGATGTTGTGCTTGAGTAATAATGCAGTAGCACTTAAGAGGAGAAGCTGCTCAGAGGAAACAGAAACACAACAATGGTGTGTTTTATCCCTCTGACTCCAGACGGTAGTGAGTGATGCAAGCCACAAGCGACTGAACAAGGTGAGATGAGTATTGTGTGACTCACAGTGAACGTCCACCAGGATGCTGACGTTGGTCTTTCCCACAGCATTGAAAACCAGACAGGAGACAGGCTCGGTGAAGAAGGAGTGGTCGGCCTTGGTTGTGAACACACTCTCCCTGGCACCCTGAAGCACCACGCCCCCCTTAGCCCACCTGAGGATAAAATGTTTTTAACAATCAAGAACAACATGTAACATAAATGCAAAGCACAAATATTCAAATTTGGCCTATGTGGCTACTTACACCTGGAAGTGTATGGCATACGGACAGAGGCAAGCACCCATTTGTCTGTAGCCAACAATGCTACTTGCACTCGGAGTAAACACTTGGGTGTGAATAGTCAAATTTAGCTTTTACAACCTAGAAATTCTGCTATATACAGCTGGATGTAAATAGCCAAATTTGGGTGTTTACACTACGAAAATTTACTATTTACACCCAGTTGCGAATAGCTAAATTCTGCTATTTACACTATGGAAATCTGAATATTTATATCCATCTGTACATTACCAAATTCAGCTATTTATTCTGCTTTATACACCAGCGTGTGGCTATTCGCACCTGGGAAATTCTGCTTTATATATCAGTGTTTAAATACCCAAAAATGTGACTATAAACACCCAAAAATGTAACTATTACACATCCTAGCAACGTTGAAATATGACGTTAACACATACGGGTCTATTCAGCTATTCTGCTAAAGTTTATGTACACAAAGTGCATTTAGCCATTTTATAGTATACCGTCAACTTACTCTGAAATTATTAAGCCATTGTCTACTCAAACAAAACTCGGACCTCGGTCTCCTATGTGGGCTTTGTCGCTATTAATACTACATCACATGACTTTCTGGTGGAAGATCTGTCTGTTTTTTCTCCCAAACTTACCATTTTAATTTCAGATAATATCGAGATTAGCTAGTACTAGCCCTAACCATAAAACCAAACCACCTCTGACCTCAAGGCATCCACTTGACAAGTACTAGCATATCACAGCATGCAATGGGATCAATGATTACGCATGTGGGTTATGGGTGTAAAAAGCCTAATAGCTGCAGTGTGACTATTCTCACCGGGTGCAAATAAACACTCCATTTAAAAGCAAAGTAAAGAAACACAAACATTTTTAAACAAACCCAGAATAAAATTCAACATTTCTGACATAGGATGCAGACCTGTAGCCCATAATAGGAGGGTTGGCGTGAGCCTGGCAGGTGAAGGTGACTCTGTCCCCCTCCAGGACAGAGCGAGGCTCAATGGACAAGGTCACTGTGGGTGGATCTGGAAGAGAGGGAGAGAGGGAGACTCACATAACAACTACATCTAATGTATGCTGCAATCTGGAGGACAGTTAGATGCAAAATGGCGGCCATGCATTACTTAATAACAGCTATAAAACATTCAGCTCCTGGCAGATGTTTTATGTTTTAAAAATGTGACGCTGTGTTGCTTTTAATTAGCCTGAAATATTAAAAATACTCATGTATGCAGTAATTAGCAGGATGGTGTAATTATACTGTATACTGTGTTAAAAATGACATTTTTCACTGGTAATGTAATACATTTCATGTTTTTACAAATACCCACAAAACTATGATACTTTTTGAGTCAATATTATTTGATTGCTTACGGTGTACGTTGAGGGTGACAGTTGTGCTTTTGCCAGTAGGAACAGCCAGGTTGGTGGCCACACAGCTGTAGTTCCTCCCAGTGTCAGTGTCGACAGGCTGGATGGGCAGATAGCTACGTGTGGTCACCCTCTTCCTGTCTGGAAGCACTTCCTGATGATGGAGGGCAGAGAGACATTGATGAAACATTTGCAATACAGATCAAAAACTGTCAAACACTTCATGAGCGCGTGAGTGTGTGTGTGTCTTGGGGAACATGATCCTTATTTTAGACTTACAGTGGTACTGGCAGCCCCCTCCACAGGCAGACCATCTTTAAGCCACTCGATCATAGAAGGTGGTTTGGCCCCTCTCGACACACAGCTCAGGTTGTAGGACTCCCCCGCATTCAGCAACACCTCCGGACCCCCATCGATCACCGGGTCATCTGGGGGGACTGGAGTGAGAGAGGAGAGTGTCAGAAACACACATCATCTCACAAAGTTTCTATAGCACACTTACACACATGCACACAGACGTACTGAGGACAGTGAGTTTGGCCCTCCTGGACCTCAGGGCGGCATCAGGGGCCTGGCACTCGTACAGAGAGTCATCAGACAGATCAGCTGACAGGATCTCCAGGTTGTACTGGCCCAACTCCTGCACGCGCAGAACGCGGTATCTGGGCCAGGCTGAGACACATAGAGATTAAGAGGTTAATAATCAGAATGGTGTTTATAGGGCACAAACATAAGATAGAGGTCCACTGTAGACCTTCATGATGAATTTAGACAAACACTATCTGGTTACAGTATAAAGTGAAACAACTTCCAGATTACTTACAGTTTTTCTCGATTGTTTACACACATTTTCTGAAAGCATGCCTCATACTCTCAGAACTCTACACACAAATCAAAAATCACACACACAATGGGCAAAACCCCTCAATTCTCCTGCAAAATGAAACTTTACATTCAAAACAATGTTATTTCTTCTCAAAATGGTATTTTGTTTTCATATGACACACACAAACCATCATATGAATAGACATTTATAAGAACCAGTTGAACACTGATGTGCTCAATGTAAAACACTTTGATGAATGGAAAACACTTCTTCTCCATTCATCATAATGACTTCGGTCTTTTTTTTTGTTCATTGTTACACTTACTACAGACAGTACATACATAAGTGTGTTGTAAAATACAGTTACAGTAAAAAACAAAAACAAAACTATGCTGCATCCTCTCTTCTGTTTCGGTCTGGCCACAGCACCTCATCCACATCACAAGTAATGTTTTCCCTGGCCAAGCAGCGGGGGAAATATCGCCTAGCATGGCGAATCCAGCCATGAAAAGCATCAACTGCTATATCTCCGCATGCGTCTTCCATAGCTTGGAGAAGGGGTATACGCGTTTGTGGATTTCGGTCATACACTTTCCATCTCCAGGCAGAAAAAGTGGTTCGGATCTCATCAGAGATTACGGTCCTTGGCCTTCCTCGTCCTCGTCCTCCCCGTCCTCCTCCTCTTACTCTCACTCCTCTGGCTCTGGCTCTGCCTCTGTTTCCAATGTTGGCATCCATTGCTCCAAAACAGAAAAGCTCACTTGTTGCCCTTTTATGCTAAAGCTCTGAGTGCTAATTGTAAAACTGTGTGACAGGTGTTTGCCCATGTGATGAGTCAGTGTGCATAGTAGGGCAATTAACTTTAGAATTTTGAATGACAGTGTGTTCCTTGTGAAAACAAGAGCCTTTCTTCATGAAAATTGTGCCAAATGCAGAGAACTGTGTGTAGTGTTTTGAAAAAAATGTGTTTTAGAACTGCAATTTGTGTGTAAAGCAGGAATTGTGCTTGTAGTTTAGCAGAATTGGTTTAGGGGATTGGTGCATGAGTTACATGTTGTGGTCATTGTGTCTCAAGTACCAGTATTTGTGTGTAAACAATTGAGAAAAACTGTAAGTTAACTCAACTCAAACTAAACTAAAAAATAAAACATGGTGTGAAAAAACATTTCAGGTAACTTTTTAGTTAACTTAGGGAAAAAAAAACTCACTGAAACAATATTGTGGACTTACAAAACGTACTAAAGTTAAATAAAAAATATACAGGAAATTTTTTTAGTTTTTGTCAATTTGATCAAATTTGTCAACAGAACAAGCACGAGGAGGCACTGGGTGCATACCGCAAACTTCAATTCGTACCCTGGGCTATTATTTGCTTAAATCCCTGAAATCAATCAGAGTCTAAATCTAAGTCAGAATCTATCAGAGAGAAAAAGTGAGTTATGACACTGGTTTTATGGCCCCTGGCATACCAACACGACAGTACTTTATCCTGTTTAAACAATACTTACAACTTGGATCAATCTTTATGAAAAAAACCTTTTTGATTGATTTGATTGGTGGACCCTTATGGACTAAAGGAAACGAGGTATGGACATACAATTTGAGGTAGCCAACAACCCGCGTTTATACATCTGAATGAACTGCTTGGCAACCAGACCAGGCTTGTAATTGAGACAAGCTGTTATTTGTCAAAAATGCTAGTAAAAGGAACTAGGCCTTTAATTGAAGTTTTAATGTATGTTTACTGAGACCGGGATGTGAATGCCTGGCAGTGAATTGCCTCACAAAATGTTTATTTGTGATGTAATATATATTATAGACTCAAAAATAAATAAAATAAATCTCTTCCCTGAAAAATACCCCCCATAATTATAATGAAAAACTAAAACTGAAACTAATAAAAACTAAATTAAAACTGAACATTTTTAAACAATAAAAACTAACTCACCCTGGACACTAACTAAACTAAACTGATTTGAAAACTACTGAACACCACAAGGTATCTTATGTGCACAAGATAACTTGTTCCCACAAAATAATTAACTTGTGCGTACAGGATAATAATTAGATCCCATATCATCTTTCGGGACTTTGGGGGCCCCACAAATTACAAAGATTAACAACAAAATTAAAACAAAACAAAACAAAACAAAACAAATATAAACTATGATAACTCTGCAAGGATTTCAAAAAGAGTGACAAAAATGAGACATATTCAGTCTTCTACTTGTGTTGAGCACAAAGTTATAGTCTCACAGTTCTTTACAAAAACCTTAAAATTCTCATCAGGATATTTTATTTTTTCCCGTTGTTCCTGTGTGTCATCTGTGCTGTCTGAAGGTGAATTCATGTCACTATATCTTTAATACTTTAGCTCTTAAAAACAAACTGCAAATTTGTCACGCCTCAGGATCCCCACATACCCATGTGGTCTGTATTAGAATTTGAAAAAATGCGACACCACGCAGCATGTGTCCGTTCATGCTGATAAGAAAACATCAGGTCTGTGTCATACATGAAACAAATCTCCAACTTTTTCGTCGTCAGTCTAAACAACACCAGAGAACTGCATGGCCACATGATGTGATAGATATGCAAATGTCCAAACATAGACTTTCACACAATTGCACGATGCACACACAATCACACATGCCTCTCCAATCCTCCCTTTTCCCTTCCCCCATCCGCCACACAGACCCAGCTGTGTCACTGCTGTACATTCTCACCATTAGGTGGCATCCATGCTCTCTCTCACCAGCAGGGGGAAAAGATGAATGCATTATGACAGCAACGTTTTAGAGGACTCAAATCGACTCCAGTCTGTGGTGCAGAATTCATGTTTGCTGCCCAGACGTAGATCGCATGTGAAATTCTCTTTCCATGTGCGGCCTCTGAACCGAGCTTTGCTGCCTGCCTAACCTTGTGTGTCCTTGATTCTGCATGCATGTGTGCATGTGTGTGCCTTGTATATACGTGCATTTGCATGTGAAATGATGTGAGCGAGAAAGCGTATGAAAAGCCCAGAGAATGGGGGGGAAGGGGGGGGCAGAGGAGAGGGACAGAGCCTCATACACAAACACACATACACCCTGGTGTGTATGTGTACGTGTGCATGAAGCGGCCAGTGTTCATTCACGTTTTTATTTAAAAGCTTTGGCTTGAAGCACTGGACCATTACAGTAACAATATGATTCAAAGAAAGGAGGGAGAAAGGGAGGGAGGGACAGGAAGAATGGAGAAGGGACGGACGAGAGGAGGAGAGAAAGAAGGGACAGGAGAGTTGACAGGAAGAGGAGAGCATGAACGGAGAGTGTGTCAAGCAAGAGAGGCTGAGGAGAGAGACAAGGTAGAGAAGTTAAATGAAGAACAGGAGAGAGGGCTCAGTACAACAGAGGCAGCTCAAAGGAGGAGAACAAGAGGGAGAGAAAGGAGCGAGGGAGCTTAGATGAGGAGGTCGCAGAGGAATAGCATGAGAGGAGAGGAGAGGAGAGGAGAGGAGAGGAGAGGAGAGGAGAGTGGAGGGGAGGTACGAATGATTACAAAGGCCATAGAATTAAAAAATAAATCCAAAATCATAGAGTACAGTGCTTGAGGAGGGAGAATAGAAGAAAGAGAAAGAAAGGGGAGGAAAATATAAAAACCCAGAATATTAAAGCACAAAGTCTGGGGAAAACAACAGCAACATCCACAAAAAACAAGACAGCAGCATGTCACACATGATGCAGTCTCCCTCTGGACCAATCAGTTAAAAATATGCCCACTTGTTTTGACCAGTAATTGCGCAGCCCCCTTTGGGCTAATCAGTGCAATTCTGAAAATGCTGCAACACAAAGATGATATGCATCGTTCCCCCAAGTTTTGTCAAAGTCAGACAAGCAGTGTCCTAAACTGTTTGTTGACAGACAGACTAAAGGGAGATTTAATAAATCAAACTGGAAGTCTCATCACTCGGGACACAAATGCAAAGACAAACTGGAGTGAAGAGTAAAGGCAGAAAGCTGTATGATAAAATGAAAGCTATGTATTAGCTGATGAATCTGCCTTTTTAATAAAAATAGCTCATATAACAGATATTAGCTGGTCAGTGTCACCCACTGCTGATGTGACAGAGGTGATGATGTGATGCTGCTTAGCCAAGTTGAAGGGTGTCACTCTTAAAATGTGGCCGAAGGAGCCTCCAGTTACCCATCAAACACTGGATGAGATGTGCAGCCAGAGTTAACATTAATAAATAAATAAATAAATAAGTGCACAGTTTGTCACAACATGGTGTGATGGGGTAGCTGCAGTGGTAGTCTAACCGTAGCCTCTTGGCCAAAACTGCTCTGCTGGCTCAATCGAGCTGTAACTACAACATTCAGCAGCAAAAATATTTGGTCAGCATACATTAGCTGTCACAGTTACACACACGCAATGTCATACTGGTCTGGTGGAGCGTCTATTATTCAAAATGCTGTGACAAAGCTGTACATTTAGAAAAATTCCACATCTGTAACACATAGATGGCTCAGTCTAAGTATTGCTAGAAGACTTATTTGCTGGTATAAAGATACTTTTGATAGAGAGACAAAATTTTTAACATTACACAGGCTTCATTATACACCATGATTGAGGGGCAGGCTTTGTCTAAGCTCTCCCTTAATGTTTGAAACGCAACTGTGACAGGCAGGTATGCATATGTTTTGGAAATGTGCAGTGATACCGAAAGTTTGGGAGGAAGTAGAAGACAAGGTGGTTACCTTGATAAGATATGATTTGGGTCTATCCACTTTTCAATGTATGCTGGCAGCCAAAGTGAACAGTTCAAGGTACAACCACAACACTAAACTGATCAGAATACCATATCATATACAGCAAGAAAGACTATTCTCAAATTCTGAATTTCTAAGGACATCCCTGCACTGGACCATTGGTGTGATGTACTAAGAAAACTCCCTCCGGAAAAGTGTGAGAGGAAGTGTCTTTTTGTTGTTGTTGGGTTTTGTATCGTGTTTGTAAAGTTGTAACTCCAGCTGTTTTTTGCATTTTGTTGAGGTAGTTGAAAAAGTATTTAAAAAAAAAGTGGTTCTGTATGCATTCGGAACTGGACGTATATGTAAATGTTGCTAGAATCTCAAAAAATAATAATAAAATATTGTCATAAATCAAATATTAGCCAGTGCAAATGTAAAGCCTGGCAATACTATCACTATAATGCTAGGACAGCGATACTCAACTTAGGGCCACCCCATAGAGTGCCATCTGGCTTGCCAACTATTTTCTAACTTACAATGAAAATAAACTGAAGATTTCTTTTTCACTTTGAATGTTGTACATAAGGAGACACAATGCATAAAAAGCATTAAAAAATAGTGCTTGGGGAGGACCTCCCAGACTCCCCTACAGAAGTCTAGGCTGAGCCCTAAATGTCCCCAAGTCCTAGAAACGCCCCTGAATACGCCTGACCTGTGCGGGGCTGCTCACTCAGATTTCTCCTTTTCTGAGAACAGCAAATGTCGATAGGTTTGACTAACAGGACATTTTATGAAAAAAATGCACAAATGAATTGGCCTCATATATGCTTTACTTTTAATGTTAATTCATTTTATCCAATGAATATTATAAATGGTTGTTTATTAGCCATTAACTGGCCTCCTGTCATTTTGCAAAAGTGGCCCCCAGGCAAAGCAAGTTGAGTCTACCTGCGCTATAGGGCAAGTGCTAGGAAAGTCAGCCTATTGCAGCTGATAGTTTAGTGGTGATTGTAAAAATAAATACACAGCTGATGTTTGCATTTAGCTAAAAGCATGGCTGAAGACTCTTAGTTTGGTTTCATGTTAGATCAGTTACTCCGTACCTAATCCACATAGCTCCTGGTAAATGCAGAAGTACAACGTGGGACATAAGTGCTCCTGGATGGAAAATGTTGGTCTAAGCACTATCTACAGTATTGTTGGCATGGATGCAATAACAGTGGTGCTTGTGCATTGTAGTTTTTGTTGGGGGTGGGCACAAACTTCACAACATTTCCAAGATCTCCTTTAAAGTGGAAATATTAAATGTAATGCGAAGTTATAAAAAAAATGTATGTGACCTTTGTGACCTCCACAGAGTGTCGGCTCTGACCCTCTGCGCTGCAAATGTTGCAGATGTCAATATAGGCATAATATGCTTTACACATTAAAGACACATGTTCTCCCTCTGCACTCTGAAATCTGGAGTAACAAACTAAACGAAATAGTGAGCAATCTTCGCAACTGTAGTTTAAGAAGTCCCAGAAAAAACTCAAGACATTCGCAACATTTCTACAGCTTTAAACATGCAGCATAACATTTTGCCCGTCAGCAGCTCCAATCCAAAAGTATCAGCATCAGCTCTGAAAAAGCCATCTTAGTCACATGCTGAACAGAGTGAAGGATGCCTGAGGAGGCCGTATGATGTCTCACCCCGGAGGTCCTCTCCGATGCCCAGAGCCAGGCCATCTTTGGTCCACTGAACAATGCCTGAGTAGTTGAAGACAACACAGGACAGGATCACCCTCTGGCCCCGCACCACCGACTGGTCTGCCGGCTCCTGAGAGAACCTCGCCGTCCACACTGGAGAGACTGGTGGAGATAGGAAGTGGGAGACGAGGCAGGATAAGTTAGGGACTTTCTCATTTTGCACACACTGCAGGCAGGCTAACCACATATATCGCATATTATTGTATCTGTGGTTTTATGGTTAATTGATTGGAAACTGCATTCCCCCAGCAGACATGGAATGCCATCTTTGATCACACGTTGGCTTGCGGCCATTAACTGAGTGCCGCCGAGCAAAGAGCGGCGTGGAAAAATGGAGGTGTCAAAGAAGGGGAAATCAGAACAGAGGTAGAGAAGAAGAAAGAGAAAAGAAAGAAGACGAAGAGGTGGTTAACGCTGACTCGGGAGAGAAGAGCTGCACATCAAACAGGCAACTTCAGCCATAGGGTTTCTCACACCCCCTTTTCTCCTGGCTCCTGACTTTTATTTCTTCAAAACTCTCTGGCCCTCCCTCTCTGTTTCTCCCCGTCTTCATTCCTCCCTATGAGTCATCTCCCAGGCTTCCACTCCACAACCAAAACTACAGTGGCTGTCATTGTCTACTAGACTCTCTCCCTCTAGTCTGTAGTCCACTACCACAGCAGATAGACCAGCGCCGCGCCGGCCCACCGACCGACTGTCTAATATGAGGGAAAATCAAGAAAAAACCCTCTGCTATTGTTCCACGCTGTATGATGACAAGTTGTAATTAGCTGTCCCTTGAAGACATGACACCCATACAATAGAGGAGAGGCAATCACCGTGGAGGATTTGCATCTCACTTTAAATTTTCCGTTCCATTCTGTCTCTCGCTTTCATTTTTCTCCCCTCTCCCACTTGTTATTTCGAAGAATCTCGTACAGTACATCATTAACCCAGTGCTGCATAGTACACCCCCCTCCACCCTCCTCCTCTGCCATTACCTCTCTCCATCTATTCTCTCTCTATAATGTTGTGTGTCCTTTACCCAAATTGCTTTGCTTCACTCTCTGCTTTTCCCTCCATATGTATGCATCCCCACTCGCCTCTTTCACTTTGTACATCTATAATGCTGTCTATGAATGTCCTTTTGCCTGCACTGATTTCCCTCTACCTCTTCTCCTCTACAGTATGTACGCACCTCCTTCTTTCTATATACATATATAATGCTGTATATGTCCTTTTACCCATAATGCTTTCTATTTCTGTGTTCCTCCTCCTCGCTGGTTGGAAGGGGGTTAGAGGCGGACTGTCACAACTCATTTATCACATTAAATATCAGCCCTCCAGCACTTTTTCTCTCCTTCTCTTCCTCATTCCCCCGTTCACCCGTCTCTTATTCTCTCACTTTTTCCCCCTCACTCCCTTTTCTTCACCTCCTACCATTTACATCTCTCCTTCTCACTTGTCCTCTCCAGTTTTTTTTATCACTTCCCCTCTCTCGTTCCCTCACACTTCTCCATCTGAGCCCCTCCAGCGCTTTTCTGAAGGTTCCCATCTCTCTCACTTTTTTTAACAACTGCCATATGCCTCTGCACCTCACCTCCCGCCTCCTCGCATGACCCCTCGGTCCCTATCTCTCACGTTTCGCCTCTCTCTTGTGTACGCAGACATGCACTCTCCCCCTATCATGTCAGATTTGGTGTGATTTGCAGAGGTACAATATGCCTGATAATACAAAAGAACCCAGTCATGCAAAAAGATTTCCTTACCAATCATAACAATGGCTTCTGACAGTGCAGCACATTAATATTCTGAAGATAAAGGAGATGCGCGAGGATACACGGTGAAAAGGGAATCAGATGCAGATGGAGCTTCACAACATACATACCTCAAAAATAATTCAGCACTGAACCAAGAATAACAATAATAGCGGCCCCTAATTTGCTCCCTGAGGAACTCCCAAATTAACTGGATTAATGAATTAAGATAAACAAAACAAATAACATAGCAACAATGATTCGCTGTGAAATGTTGGAAAGTAAAAACTCATGTCGTATAAGTCGCAAAGCCTTTAACCACAAATATTGTGAAAAGACCCCACAACAAACATTTTCACCAGCCAGCAACCAAAATAGTTCAAAGTTCAAATGCCTTAGTTTTTAAATATTTGAATGGCCACTACATGCTAACTGGAGGAAAACTATGACTGTATTAGTGCTGCATGATTAATCTAATCGCAATCGCAATCGCGATGTCAGGCTGTGCGATTATATAACCGCATAAAAGGCTGCGATTTGCGATTTAATGTAGGCTAAATAAATGTTAATGTGTGTGCCTGTGAACGTGACTGCCTCTCCTGTAGTGTGTGGAGTTTGTTGACATCACGCCCACAAGCTATCCTGGTGTGTGCAGCCGACGTGCAGCAGTGACCAACACAGACGCTGAAGAAGAGCATGAGCTCGACCATGAACAGGCTGATTTGGTGGCGAAAAAACACGTCTGTTACATGGCGATACTTTGGATTCAGGTACGGCGACGTTGAACAGAAAGATGTGCTGTTTACTTGTAAAAGTTAAAGTCGCCACGTCCTGCGGCAACACGACCAATCTATATCAGCACTTGAGACGGGACGTGGCAACTTTAACTTTTAAACTTTTACACAGCACGTGCCTCACCCCTCCAAGAATCATGTACCTAGACTGGCACATCTTTCTGTCCAACGTCGCTGTACCTGAAAGACGTGCTGTGTGAAAGTTTAAAAGTTAAAGTCGCCACGTCCCGCGGCAACACGACCAATCTATATCAACACTTGAGACAACACAGCACAGGGAAAAGTAGGAAGAGTGCATGCGAGAGAAAGCTGAGCCGTGTAACGTTAAAGACAATGAGACAACTGTCACAGGGAAATCATGGACTCCATAACACTTGACATGCTGCTGTGTTGTGCTATGGCATGCTGGAATTTGTCATTTACGTGACAACTAGGGCCATAACGGTACATGTATTTGTGTCGAACCGTTCGGTACGCGACTTTTGGTTCGGCACGACCCTGTACCGAATTATTGGGCGCAGGATATTATTTTATTTTATTTTGTTTTATTTTAAGTCCGTTTTTGCGAGCCGAACCATTTAAAATATCTAGTTCCCCGATGGACATAATTGAGTGATGGACCGAGTCCCGTAAATCTTAGCTTTCACTTTGTGCAGCACATTCTCGCATTTTGACAACATGGCAAGTGAGCCTGACGAACCTGAAGACCCCCTGCAAACCTTAAGTCCTCCGTTTGGGAACACTTTGGTTTCAGGGTAAAATACGAAGATGGAAATAAACAAGTGGACAAGACAAAAGCAGTGTGCCGACACTGCAGAACAGCGGTCGGGTATGTACTTGGAAACACGTATAACATGCTAACGCATCTAAAGCGTCACCACCCAAGTTTGAACGTTAACCGGCACGACTAGAAAAAGCAATCTGGTGCAAACTATGATATCGTCGTCGTTTGAAAAGAAAGAGCGTTTCCCTGACCATCACGCTAAAGAAATAACCAACGCCATTGGAGTTGAGTAAAATTGTAAAAAACTGCACTTTATTTTGTAAAAAACTGCACTTTAGATATAAGCATGTTTTGTTTACTGCACTTTAACAAAGTGGGAAAGCTAAGTAAGTTCCTAGTAAAACTGAATCTGAGCAGGCTTTAAAGCTGACCAGCTGCACTATACTTTTTATTTTAATTGAGTAAAACTGTTAAAGCAGAAATGTATATTTATATTTTTCATTCAAAAAATGTGTTAAAAAAAACAGCAGGATTTTATTTTTCACTTTTATATTTCTATTTTCATTTAAACAATGTGAAAAAGCAGAATTTTATATATATTTGTTTCATTCAAAAATTGTGTAAAAAGAGTTAACTGCTGTGGTGGTATGTTTTAATAAGGTTACCAATAAGTAAAAGATATTTAATAGTTGTCTATTTTTTTCATTACTGTACCGAAAAAAAAAAACGAACCATGACTTGTGTACCGAGGTACGTACCGAACCGAGATTTTTGTGTACCGTTACACCCCTAGTGACAACGCCTGAATGCAACACAGGCTCGCTCCGCTGTGTGTACAGTGCTGTGCTGCACTGCTGTGTGAGCAGCGTGTTTGACTGTGCTCAGTCTGTTGATGGTCATTGACATACTGTCTGTCCATAACAATAACTATGTCAGGTCAGTGCCCCCCTAATATAATGTAGGGGAAACAATGAATCAAGCAAAAAGATTCATGATACCATTTATTTATTACATTTTATTGTAATTATATTGTAATCGCAATCGCAAATCACGATATTGTCCACCATAATCGCAATTGCACATTTTTACCAAATCACGCAGCACTAGACTGTATTTATAGGTAAATGGTAAATCACAAGTTTCATCCTGATACAACTATACGATATTTGCTTCAATCACAAAGTCTGCAACAATAAAATTTCGATTCAATTCAGTTCAGGGGTCTGCAATCAAGACAATATCACTTAGGATCATTTTCTTTTTCTTAGCTGCTTACAATTATCTGCATAGTGCTAGGCTGCTAGCATTGTTTGACTGTTTAGGAAGTAGGTGTGGTTTTCACTTTACATCGTTAATACTGAATCGTTGATTGTTGAATTGATATATCAATCGAGATCCATGTACGCCCCCACTATTTATTTAAAGCAACACTTACCTTTCTGGAAATTTTCTGGATTTTCTTTGTTTAGGTTAAAATGCTATTAATAAGCTGATGACACAATAAAATGTAAGTGAATTCCACCAGAGATAAAAACTCATAATTGTACCATTCTCCAATGGTTCTAAGAAAATTCTGACCAATTATTGCATTCGGTCCGAGCGTCCTGTCCTGCTTGTGGATATAAACCTTCCGTAACAATGGCAGACAAATGCAGACCACCACTTCCACCTTCAGCCGCTCCAACAGGGAAATCAGTTGGCAAAAGAAAGAATATTGCAGAAAAAGCTAACACTAAGAGAGAACTCGCTGCTACAAGAGCCAAAACTCAGGTCAATATCGGCTCTGCTTTCGAGCGATGGCGAAGACTGATGCAGCTTCATCCTGAGCTAAAAAGGGACGAGATGGTC